AAACTTCAATTCACTATGTAATTAATAAAAGATACAATCCTTTCTTAAAAGGATGTTACCATTTAATCAAATGTAGTAATTGTAGAAAAAAAAAATTTTCTTTTTGAACACCGCTGTCACCACTTGTTATGTCCTGAGTTCACAGGGCTTTCTTTATTACGTATAAGACATAACTGTTTCATAACAATAAACAAAAAGGGAGAATAACGAGAGAAAAACAAACAAACAAGAGAGTGTTGACCTCCAACATATAGATAAAGATGTCAGACCCTAACAACCACCATCAAATAATGAGCACGTTGACAAAAATACAGATGGCAAGTTTGCAAATTTTACAAATCCTACTTAATTACTTTTTCCTACAATCCAGTATTAGTAACGGATGAAGCAATAAATGTTGATCGGGATATCGAACGTGCTGTTGAAAAAACGAAAAGGCGGCGTGAGTTAACTGATAAAGCAAAAAAATATCATGAACAAAAAAACAAAACAAAGAAGAAGAACAATAATTAGCCCCTATTATCTCTTGTAATAGATGTCAATGATGAAAATGAAAGAAACTCTTATTTTCATATATAATATCATAGAACTTGTGAACCATCCATAATTGTTGGTAGAAAGATAGAAATTATATTATTGATTTTCAAGATAATAAGATTTTTAACTGTTAGCTAAAGAACTGAATTTGCGTTTGAAATTAGAATCCTTGTGACAATTTTCATATAAACTATTTTGAATACACGCATATTATTTTAAATATACATTTAGTGATCGTTGAAATTACTCAAATGATTCGTAGAGATTAATTTAATCTGTTGCGGTTTTTGATCTTTTAATATCGGAATGTAGTCGTTTGCAGAAATATGTTTTTCCGGAAAAGAAAAACTTATTACATGACATTACTTTCCAAATTGGAGAAACACTACACTTTTAATCTCTATTTTATCGACGAGGACATAGTACATCTAAATGTAAATTCTAAATATAGACAGATATTTAGTAGATGATACGAACAATAGTATGACTTGTTATCTTGGAAATCGCATATTCATGTATATTTATTTCTGTTTATTTAAAGATGCAATCTGTTTCCGATAATATTAGATTAGGAAGATAAAAGTTGAACATTGCTTTATTTTGTTGTGTAGCTTTATGTCGAAATATGTGGAAATACAGTTTTTTTAAATTTACATCATTGACATCTCACTTGTTTTTGTCTGTTTCATTTGTTATAACAATAGAAATTAATTTTATTTAGCATTTTTGTTTTTTATTGATGTGCATATTTGTTGAAAATTACTGAACTATTTTATGTATTGATCTTATATTATTTAATAATAAAATATTGCGAAAGAAATACCTATTGATTAAAAGGTCTTCTTCAGTAAGGATGCTATGTGTCACATATAATTTCATATAACTTATAAGAAAAGTTTTTAATTTTTTTCCATCTTAGATGTGTTCCTTAACAAATATTGATAGTATTGATGACAATGAAATATTTATTATATCACTTAATCGAAAAATACCATTGAGACATTTGAATTTGATGTATTGTCTTGATAGCAAGTTGGAAGAATTTATTCGAACAAAGTATGATGATATATCCAACATGATTCAATTGACATACAACGTAAAATATGATTGTGTGATGATAGAATCTATTCTAAACTTGCTAAAATCAAATAATATTTCGTCAAGCCCATTCACTTTGGAAAATGCTAATGATATAATACGCAACTATTCTATGAACCATCATTTTCTTTCATTAGCATCACCAAATACCATACAGCCATTCACCTTGATTTGTTTAAATTGCCAACATCCATTAAAACTACTATTCAAAGAAAAGGTGAATGTTTTTCTTCTTGATCGTGTTGATAATGGCATTATTTATTCTGCTAATTGTTGCCATATTGAATACCACACAAACAGTTATATAAAAAATTCAAAACGTCTTGTGGTTCATAACTCCTTGCATAATCAAAAATATATTACTTTTGGTGGTAAATGTGTTCTGAGTATTGAACTTTTATTGAGATATGCTTCAGATTTGATTAGTATGGTGAGTTTAAAAGATTTTAATCGAAACTGCAATTTTTTTCATGCCTTTTATTTCTCATACTTTTTTCAAAAATTTTTCTAATAAAAATTTAATTATATAGTACACAGGATTTGAAAATTTTTGCGAATCATACAATGATACCATCAAGTCACTTTTATTACAAAGTCTGAATGAAAGTGATCCGCAAATAAAGAACCAACCGATGTTAGAACGTCGTCTATTTGAAAATATATGGTTGATTTATTCGTCTTCGCTACTTGAAATGTTTTTGTCAAAAGTTGAAGAAATTGAAATCCCATTAAATATCAGTAATCGTGATCAACGAAATTCTTTTCTTACTAGTCACTTACCTAGTTTGGAACAGAATTTCACTTTGTTTTGGTCGAGTCACTCGTTAAACTTCAATTGTGGTCATCAATGCTCCAGAGCCATTGTAATAGATGGCTTTCAAAAACCAGATCGATTTGTTTGCCAATTTTCACAAAAATTAATTCATTCGGAGGAGCTTGGTAGATTTTTCAAAAATATAAAAACTGCTCAATATGTTTTCAGTCTTTTTTTTAAAGGGGATATCGAATGGAGTTGTGGTTTTCGCCCTGAAATGATCAGAGATAAAGCACATCCAGGTTATTGGACGAATACCAAATATTGTCCTGAACATATTCATCTTGAAAATAATCAATCAGAAAATATTGCTATTGATAAAGATGAATATGACAGTATTGATTGTAACGTCTCAAGGTATTGTCCATGTGAAATATAGATATATATATATATAATACCTTACATTTTGATAGAACTGATAGATACTCTAATCGGCGCACATCATATGGGATTGTACTAACGATGCATAATTGTGGCATTATTTTAAACTTTGACGAAATGTATAGATGTGAATCACCAACATGAGTACTTCATCATCTATTCACTACTATAGACCGTATGTCATTAGCGATGTGAGCAAAAGAATTTTATAATGACTTCATATTAGGAATAATAAAGTTTTTTCTATTTCAGAGATTTGCCTAAGTATTTAATATATGACAACGCGTGTGGTTTACTGCTTACACTTCAAAAACGTCTTCAAAATGGCCAAATTCAACATACCATCAGATCAGATACATTGTAAGTAGATTTTCAATGTTTTTTATTATTTAAATGAATGTTTTCTATACAGGAGTAAAATGACATTTCTGGTCGATAAGTTTCACATTGCCAATCATCGCAGAAAAATGTGCGAAACACAAACTAATCCATATAAGTATGATGACGCTAAGGGAATAAACACTGTTGTCTGTGAACAAACCAACTCTAAACTTAAAAAGTACCAAAATATCTTTTCATCATTTTCTTTTCCAAAAAGCAAAATCTTTTACTTGCTATTATTTCATTTAATCAATTGTAAGAAAAGAAACATATCTTTTTATGGATGTAAAAAATAATATTTTTGAAAATAAGAAATTGTAAATGTTCGAATTTTCATACAATAATTTATTTAATAAAAAATATAAGTATATAGTTATTTAGGAAAGTTGGAAAGTAAATCTTATCGGTAGTCTAATATTAAGAATATGTATGTCGCTGCTTTAATAAAATAAAATAGAATGAATGCCAACTACCTTCAAAATACAGTAGTGTATTAATAGATATCCACAAGATCATCTAGTCATTTTGTTACAGCTCGTTTGCTTGAGAAAGAGGTCAACTTCTGTTTGATCAAGAATTACGAATAAATTCATGATATTTAATTGACAATATATATTTTTAGTAGCCACTCGAATTGGTGAAACTGACTATAAATGAATAAAATGTGGGAAAATATATTCGGCTGAGCCAACGTCTTGATTTTTACTAGACACAGTACTCTGAATCAATCAAATGATTTCATGTCTGTTACTCGAAAAGAATAGCTCAAAGGGAAAAATTTAGAAAAAAAATGTCTTTAATGTACAAATTTTCGAAGAGTTAGAATAAAAACACTAATATATTGATGCTAACATATCAAAAAATGACTTGTCTACTTAACGTATACATAATCTACTTATCAAAGTACTTTTTCTGTTTATTTACAACAACGGATAAGTATAGACAAAATTTTTATTTTAAAAAACTGGAAACAATAAAAGAATTCTATTCACTTGAAAAATAAAATTATCTATATCTGCTAATACATACAAATAAAGAAAATAGTTATAGTTAGAGTAAATGTTGAACTGAATTTTACGCTTTAAAAAAAATAGAAATAAAACAAACACTAAGAGAACGCTTATTAGTGATAAGAAAACAAATATTTAGTATAGCAACATGATGAATTAACTGATCTTTTTTCTTATCACTTAAATCACTTCAATAAATGATATTGATTATCAATAAATACAAGCTGATACAGGACAAATCACTTATTTATAAAATAGACTGTAGTCTACGCTAGGGACGTCACCAGAAAAAAACTGTGGTGGGGGGGGGGGGGGGGGG